CATGGCTCAATTTCCCAACCATCACATTGCCGGCGGGAAATAATCTCTCATCATAAGCTTGCGAGGGATTTCGTGATTCTCGTCGCACCGACCCTCTTCTCCCACCCTCTCGCGCCGGACGAAGGCAATGGAAGCATTGAAACCGACCCATCCAACCGGCGCAGGGACCCCTTGGGCGTTCCGCGCTTGAAGCGCCGGCAACGATTGATGTGATGAGACTGCCGACCGGATTGTTCCTTTGTCTCAAGTTGACGCGTTTAGCGTTCAAATTCAACATTGCCCGCTCGCCGGGACTGATGGACTCTGGTCAGCAAGGGATGGCCTAGGCCTCCATCAGACTCGCGAGGCAGTCCTTCGACGGGAGCTTTGAAGATGTCGCAATAGGCAGTAGGTAACGTGAACAGCCCGAGACTTTAAGGCTTGTTGATGTTTACGGCCAAACGAACCCCGCAATTCACGGGGATTTCCCCCTCTTATTTGAGCTTGGCTATCGCGGTCGGGACCAAGGCGGCCTCATAGGCGAATATTTGAACATCACATAAACCATCCCTACGGATACCTACCTACCTTACTAACGGAATGTACGCTGGTGTTTTCCCGGCGGCTGTCAATAACTGCTACCTATGTATGCTCGGCCGTGGCGGATCTGAGGGCCGCCTTCCGGCCCGCGAGGGACCCAAGGTTGTAACCCCGCGATCCGGGCCGCTCTTGGTGGCTCCGCTGGAAGTTGAGGCCAGATCATATAACTATGATGACGCCGCTCCGTCTCAACTCTCGGTTGCTGACGAGGGTTAGTTCTCGCAAGTTTCCCGAGTCTCGCGCGTGCGCCAACTGTGAGAACGCTCTACATCCAGCCCCGCTCCCCTCACAAAACACCAGCTTCCCATCGACGGACCGGGTCAACAAGTCCGCCATCACCATGGCAGAGGGTCAGAACTTCCAGCAATGGCACGTCAGCGAGCCTTATCTGGAGACGCACTGCTCGCTCGGCGAGGGGCCTTTCTATGAGCCCGCCACTCATACGCTGCGCTTCGTCGACATCATCAAAAAGCAGCTCCACACCGTCTCGCTCACCGAGGGGCCCTCGTCGCTCAAGACCCTCCAGTTCGACGAGTCGGTCACCGTCACGGCCGACATCGACGGCCGGGATCCGCAGGACAGTCTCTTGATCGGCGCCAAGCAGGGTCTGGCCGTGTTGGACAGGAAGACGGGGAAGTACGACTATGTGACCAAGTTTGGGGAGGCCAAGGGCGAGCGCATTAGGAGCAACGACGGCGCCGTCGACCCCAACGGCCGGTTCTGGCTCGGTACCATGACGGACTTTGGGTTGGGGCCGTTCCAGCCAGAGGGTGAGTCTCCTGTCATCTCCAAGTCTCTCCGATGTCGAAGCATCGCATTTCTCGTCCCACATGGCAAGCCGCCAGAACTCCAAAAGCAGTACGGGGCTGTGACGCACGACACCAGGCATATCGTCACTGCCCTCAGCACGCCCCGTGTTGTGACGTGGATAGCACTCCGGTGCTCCCTCCCCTGAAAGCTACCCAAACATTAGCCCCAAACAACGAACACATGAGGGATCCCAGAGCCAGACAATCAATGTACCGTCACTCCCCCATCCACTCACCTCTAACGCACCCGAAATCACAAAAAGGCTCCCTCTACCGCTTCTCCCACGCCACCGCGGCCACGTCGACCCGCTCGGGCCTCACCATCCCCAACTCGGTCGGCTTTTCCCCGGACGGCCGCACCATGTACTTCACGCACTCGTCGGCCCGCGAGGTGTTTGCCTGGGACTACAACCCGGCCGACGGCTCCGTGTCCAACGAGCGCGTCTTCTACCGCCACGTAGGGCCCGGCGAGCCCGACGGGTTCCGCGTCGACACCGAGGGCAACCTGTGGCACGCCGTCTACGGCGAGTCGCGCGTGCTCAAGATCAGCCCCGCGGGCGAGCTCGTCGGCGAGGTCCGCATCCCGACGAGGAACGCCACCTGCTGCGACTTCGTCGGCGGCGGCGAGCTGGCCATCACCACGGCTGGCGATGACGAGGGCGAGGGTGAGAGCAAGAGGCTGGGCGGGGCCGTGTTTAGGGTGCAGGTGGGCGCTGAGGGGACGCCTCGTTTTGCGTATCGGCTGTGAAGTGGATGGACGCTACTGATTTGATGGGTTGGGCCATGCATGTGTGGATGCGTCAAGCTGGTCGTGGACTTGAGTTAGCAGTTTGCTAAAATTAGGGGTTAGGTTCTATGTTTAGTCCCGAACATAAAGTACCAGGTATAGCACTTGAAATGAAGGGATCCAAGGAGACAGGTCAGAGTCGAAGAGAATAAGTCCACAGCGTCCAGCCCAAGCCTAATCACCCGTACAGCGAGAGCTGGGGTGTTCCGACGAGAAAATTTGACATCTCGTTAACGTCCGAATGTCGTCAAGGGCAGCGATCTTGAAGCATGTGGTCGCCCTTGACTTGCTGGAGCCGTAAGGTAGGTAAGCCGATCTGGGAGTGGTGAGAAGCAGAGTAAGTTGGAGATGATCGTACCTTCTTGATCTGAAAGTCCGGCAGCGAGCACTCTTTCCCGGGTGCGATGCAGAAGCAGAGGTCGTCACGACTCGTCAGGGAGGCGAAGAATCAGGGTTAGGGCTGAGCAGACATCCTTGACCGTTTTGCCGCCAAGAGGTAGCCTGCTCCAACTCCTCAAATCTCCCGCCTGCTGCCTGCAATGTTTCGGTCGACACAACCTCAACGTCAAACTACCGCACATGGCAGACGTCATCATCAGCATGGCCGATGAATTTTGTCTCAATCTTCTCTCCGGCGACGGAGATAAAATTGACGATACAGACTCGCTCTTTGGCGGCGACGATGACACCGAGCTGACTTCCCTCTTTACCGAAGTCGGCGCCATCGAGCCGTCCCTTGAGCATGACTATGAGCCTACATCACCTTCGCCACAAGAGCGCCCTCCATGGGCGACTAACCCTGCTGCTGCTCAGCTCGAGTTCCCTGAGGTCCCTGCGCAAGCGCATCCGAACCACCAGCATGCGCTCTCGATGCCTCTGCTCCATCTACCCGCAGTCCCTGATCCTCCTGGTGCCTCTTTATCGCACCATGACGGACACACTTCAGGCGACCTCGTGGTTAGTACCCAAGATTTTACTCACATCACTCTTGGCTCTGGTCCTGCGGTAGCGTCGTTCGAGGGTTTCCCCGACAACGCCGCTCTGGACGCCGAACTCGAGCGCCTGTGGGATTTCATCACGAGCGACGAACAGCCCGTTAATGCTCAAGCAGAAAGTCGAGACAGCGATGCCACGCCAGAGATACAGGATGACAACATCATCCTCCCAGCCCAAATCCCCGGCTTCCGCTATGCCTACAGCAACACCAACATAACCATGCGCCTGCCTCGGCGCATCGATCAGGACCAGAAAGAAGCCGAGGAGCTTATGTACTTCGTCACCCTCAGTAAGCACGCCACCCCTCCCCCCCCCTCTAACCTAAAGTTTATATGAAGTGACCGCTAACCAAAAGCAGACCGCAACACGAAAATGGAGACTCTCTACGAGCACCTTGAGCTAGACCTCGGTCTCGGTAAGCTTCTCGCCTTGGAGATGAAGAAGCTTCTCAAAGAGCCGCCACTCATCGAGCTCGTCAAACGATCCGTCGCCGCCGTATCCGAGACCAAGAAAAACCTCGTCAGCATCGCATGGTACATGCTGGTTGTCAAGGACTTGGGAACCACTTGGTTTGGCGACGGTTGCAGAACTGCCGCGACACGGACTTTGCTGTGGCCCAGAGATTCGTCAATGTAAGCCCACCTTGCGTTTGCCCACTGTTGAACTTGCTAACACCATTTGCTCAGTCTCTTCGCGAGCTTCGTCATGCTACTCTACCGGATTTACATCAACAAGAGACAGATGCACCAGGCTACCTTGCGTACTCAGGCTCGGCTCCAGCAGTCCGGCGTCGCATCGGAAAGGACATTGTCGCCATCTCCGTCCCGGTCGCCGTCTGCTTCGCCGGCGCGCGCCCCGCAGAGTCCTCCACCGACTCCCAAGAGCCAGGCATTCTTCAAAGCCCTCGCCAATGACGCCATCGCCCGAAAGAAGCGGAAGCATGCCGAAGCCGCATATGGCGTTTCCCGGAACCCATACGAGGTCGACATTCCTGCGAACGCCAAGCTCAAGTATCGCGTCTACGTCAGGGACAAGACGGACGGCAGCGATCTCGTCGCCCCCACCACGTATCGGCACACCGACTTCATGATTTCCCGCGGTGCCTTCTCGTCTCTCAAGGCATCTTTCGAAGCCGCAGGGCAGGTCCCCACCTTTGAGATCCAGACGCCGCTCGGTAGGAAGGGCATCACTAGCGAAGAGCAGTGGGAGCAGGCCGTCCTGTCCATCTACAACACGAGGCGTTCGGGCGGAGTGGTGGAGGTGGATATTTTCGTGTGAGGTATCTTGGGTCGTCTCTCGGCAATGGGCAGAAGGTTTGGGGGACTAGGTACAGAGCAATTCTGCGATCAAATATTTCAGGGCGGGATTCGGGTTACTGGTGGCATTGCGGTGGGAAATCGGGCTGATCGCATGCGATGGGATAACAGTGTTTGGTCCGGCGTTGGTGGGATATGTCGCATGTCGCATTGGTATAGATACCCGGGAAGATGAGGTGGTGTCTGACAATGGCCCGAAAGCGGATTCAATGAATGAATAACGAACATTTACTCTCTAGTCATCAATCGTTTTCCAGCTTGCGGGCTTCAAATCCAAGAAGCGATCAGTCCGCAGCTTCAGCCTTCCTGAGGCGTTGACAAGGTACCCCGAACGTAATGCTTCATCAACAAAAAGAGAATGGATTCGGATATTTGCAATCTCCTCATTCAGCATTAGCATAACTTACCCCAAGCTTTCTCAGCAACAAGAAATGTACATCAGCCAATCTCTAAACTGAGTTCGAGCCGCTATCCCAATGACAGAGCTCTGCCAGAGTGTACACATGCAAAAAGCGACCAACCCAGGGGTCGAACCTGGAACCTCCTGATTACTTAAATCATAAGTCTCTGGATGAGATCTAGATAATCGTAGTCAGACGCTCTGCCATTGAGCCAGCCGGCCTTTTAAGCATTTAATACTTCACGCACCGAACCCGACATTAATAACGCCCAGGCAATGCTCCGTCGAAGAACCCAAACTCCCGTACTAACAACACCAAAAATACTGATGTATACATACCAAACCAAAAGCCGACAAAAAGAAAGGACACAGCATTACAGAATTACAGTCGGACCCTCCCTTCACCACCACCAAACCACCTCCTGATGTCGGCATTCCCCCCACCCGCGCTACTGCTGCTCCCCTGGCCTTCATCACTCCCGCCCATCATCCACTTGGGCTTCTTGATGCCCTGCCCAATATCCTGCAGCCACCTGGGGGTGTCCATGGTATCAATGGTGTTCCTGAACCTGTGGCCGAGCGCCTCAAAAAAGTTCTCGTCCTCGGGCTCGTCCAGCACGACCGCGGCCCGACCGACCCTCCTCGCCGACGTGTTCGCCTGCGGCCGACCGGATGACGAGAATGGCCCAGCGCCGCCGCCGCCGCCCGCAGTCGGAGATGTCCCAAGCGGCGTGGTCGGTCCACCACCACCACCGGCGGTGCTACTAGTAGTACCATCCCGGCGGCCGGCGCGGGGGATGGACAGGATGGGCGCCGCCCGGCCACCGCTGCTGCCGCTAGCGAGGTCTGTGCGGCGCGCACGGATGGCAGCCGAAGTGCCGTTGAGCTCGCGCTCGATGAGGTCGCGACCCTCGCGCCACGAGCCGGTGCCAAAGGCGGCGCCCCGCTCGTCCGTGTCGTCGCCGTCGCCGTCGTCGTCTAGGACGTCGACGTCAAAGCCAAAGACGCGCTTGGCCTTGCCGTAGAGACCGAACAGGGTGGCGCAGACGGGGAGGAGGACGAAAACCGGGAAGAGGTAGTCGAACCACGTGCCCAGCGGGGTGAGGTTGATCAGCTGGCCAAGGAAGCCGTAGAAGACGGTGTCGCGATAGATACTGCCCAGAAAGGTCATGAAGTTGTAGGTGAGGGGCACGCTGAGCCGGGCGACCTGGCTGGCGTACCAGAATGCGGACTCGTGGGCGGTGTTGCGGCGCACCAGCGCACGGCCGCGCCAGACCTTGACTTCGGTGATGGAAATTAGGGCGGCGGCACACATGTAGACCATCCAGAGTGCGGCAATGATCTGGCCGGCGAAGCCTATTTGGCCTTTGCCACCGACATGGTGGTGGATAACGCTGTAGCGGATGACGGAGAGCTGGGGGAAGAGGCCCTTGACGAGTTCGGACCAGACAATACAGATGGAGGCTAAGGCGAGGACGGCGCCGAGAGCAATTCGGAGGCAAGGAATCAAGTGGTAGTGTAGCAGGAAGCGCGTGTAGGGCGTGAGCAGGGTGCGCCGGTCCCAGAATCCGGCGTTGGGAGAGGCCTTTCCAAAGTCGAGCTTCTTGGAGGCTGCTGAGTCCAAGACTGCCTGTGTGTGGACGGCATCTTCTAGCAAACGATTCCACTCGTTGACATATCTTGACCGGGCGTGCCTCGCCCGGATCAAGCGCCTAGTAAGCTCGGCCAGGTATTTCTCGGTGATGACGTTCGGGAGCGGATCTTGGTTGCCAGAGCCCCTCACAACGCTTGCCCGGCCTGGTTGGGACTCCGGAAGGTTGGTCAGGTCGACCAGCTCCTCGACCCAGTCCTGGAAGAGACTGGCGCTGCCGCCTTTGCGGCGGCTAAGCTCGGCCACGTGCATCTCGAGGTCCTCGAGATCCATCTCAGCATCGTCCATCTTCTCATAGACCTTGGGCGCCTGCGTCTGGATACGACGGAGCCTGCCGCTGATGTTGGCGTTGCGGAGCAAGCGGCGGGGGATGGAAACGAGACCGTGGCCCATCAGGTAGATTGCTAGCACCAAGCCCCAGCAGTATGCGAGAGCCATCACCGTGCTCTTGATCGACTCGGAAAAGTGTCCGTAGGACACCAAAACGTATATCAACCCCAGGGCTCCCGATCCAAAGACGATGGCGTAGTATTGGGCGTTGGCGCGCAGCGAGTCGACGAGCTTGTCCTTTGGCTCCCGGTATCCGGAGTCGGAATATTCGGCAAGAATGGGTAGAATGAACCTAAAGGCAGTCAAAATGATATAATGTCGGCTCATGCTAGCTCAGAAGGGCCACAGGCGCATACCAGGTCAGGGCAAAGGTAAGCCAGTAGGTTATCCGCCACGACACTCTCAGTGTCGGCAGCTGAAGCCATATCCCGCGCGCGTCAATATCGTCGACCATGGCGCTGGACGCCAGGTCTATTGGCACCAGGAGAACCATGCTCGCAGGAAGACATAGCGCAAAGAAGACGGGCACGAGGAGGTAGGCGGGTGTTGTTCGGAGGGGGAGGTAGTATCGGAGGATCAGGAGGACAACGGCCGAGATGCAGAGCAGCGCGACCAGGGCGAAGACCAGGGACGATACGGGCGACGACGACTCGGCTATCGCAATCATGGTGAGCAGGCTTGGTGTTGCATGTTCGGGTGCATGTGTGTCGCTCACTGCCAGTGTTTTGGTGATGCCGGTTGGAGGGTGACGAGCAAGAAACCCACAGGTACGGATACGGTATCTGAGCTGATGTCACCAAACCCTGCAAAGGAAACGGTTGGAACGGCAGAACGGGAGCTACGGATAACGCTACAGGGGTGCTTATCAGTACGGCCCACATTTGTGGATCGGCATGCTTTGACTGACCTTAGCTGACCGGGACGGAGCATCGAGGACTCCGTACCTTCCGTTAGAGATGATCCGCCGAGCCTGCCTGCCTTCGATCGCTGCTCTTGTTATAGAATATCCGCTTTCACATCCCAGGCTGCCCGGGCCTGCTCTGGATGAAAGTTGAGGTGAGATCTGACTTGTGGGGAGGGCATTTGAAGGCTTCTCTGGCGTGGCTTGGATTTCCAGGCGGAAGCTCTTTGCAATTGTTCTGTTATCTGCTCTGTGGGCATAACAAAGAGGGGTTGAGAGGACGGTCTCGAAGAGTCGAATGCGACTATGATGCCCGCACTCCTACCGCGCACCTCTTGTGTCTGGACAACATCTAGTTTCCCATCAGCGAGTCACCAGAGAAGGCTGAGATTAATTGTGACGGCCACTGCTGGCACCTTTCGGAACTTCTCGATTACCGCGCAGGCCAAAGAGCAGAGCTTGAGCATGGAGGTCGAACTCACAGCACCGAACGGCAGAAAGTGGACGCAGCCACTGGGTCTGTTCATCAACAACGAGTTTGTCAAGAGCAGCAATGGGCAGAAGATCGCCTCCGTCAACCCCACGTGCGTTCATGCACCAATCTGTGGCGCCGTAGCAGTTGCGTGGCTGACTCTGCCCTAGCACCGAGGAGGAGATCTGTTCTGTCTTTGCCGCCACCGCCGACGATGTCGACACGGCAGTGGCCGCCGCCCGCAAAGCTTTCAAGGACCCTTCGTGGAAGTCTCTGTCGGGCACCGAGCGCGGCGCTCTGATGATGAAGATGGCTGACCTGGTGGAACAGCACGCCGAGACGCTGGCCACCATCGAGTGTCTTGACAACGGCAAGCCGTACGCTGTCGCACTTAGAGAGAATGTGGCCGAGGTGGTCAACGTGCTGAAATACTACGCCGGCTACGCCGACAAGAACTTTGGCCAGGTCATCGACGTCGGCCCCGCCAAGCTTGCCTACACGGTCAAGGAGCCCCTGGGAGTCTGCGGCCAAATCATCCCCTGGAACTATCCGCTGGACATGGCCGCCTGGAAGTTGGGGCCCGCCCTGTGCTGCGGCAACACGGTGGTGCTCAAGCTGGCGGAGCAGACGCCGCTTTCGGTACTGTACATGGCGCGACTCTTCAAAGAGGCCGGCTTCCCACCGGGCGTTGTAAACATCATCAACGGCCACGGCCGGGAAGCAGGCTCGGCGCTCGTGCAGCATCCGCTCGTGGACAAGATCGCTTTCACCGGCAGCACCGCCACCGGCAAGGAGGTCATGAAGATGGCTTCAGCGACCATGAAGAACATCACGCTCGAGACGGGCGGCAAGTCGCCGCTCATCGTCTTTGACGACGCCGATCTCGACCAGGCAGTGACTTGGTCCCACTCGGGCATCATGAGCAACCAGGGGCAGATCTGCACTGCCACGTCGCGCATCATGGTGCACGAGAAGGTCTACGACGAGTTCATCAAAAAGTTCAAAGCCAGAGTCGAGGAAATCTCGGTCGTGGGCGATCCGTTTGAGGAGACCACATACCAGGGGCCGCAGGTGACCAAGGCGCAGTATGACCGGGTGCTCTCGTACATCAAGTGTGGCGAGGAAGAAGGCGCAACCATCGCGCTGGGCGGGGAGCCGATGCCTCAGAAGGGCAAAGGATTCTTCATTGCCCCGACCGTGTTTACGAACGTGAAGCCCAACATGAAGATATTCCGCGAGGAGATCTTTGGTCCCTGCGTGGCCATGGTCGCCTTCAGCACAGAGGAAGAGGCGATCCAGCTGGCGAACGACACGACGTACGGTCTCGGCTCGGCAATTTTCACCAGAGACCTGGTGCGCGCGCATAGGGTGGCGAGGGATATAGAAGCTGGCATGGTCTGGATCAACAGCAGCAATGATTCCGACTTTAGGATTCCGTTTGGAGGAGTCAAGCAGTCTGGTATCGGCAGGGAGCTGGGCGAGGCCGGACTTGCGCCGTACTGTAACGTCAAGGCTATTCATGTGAATATGGCGGCATGACTTTAAGCACACGTGGAAGGTACAACTCATTGGAGGCATTCCTCTCAACCATGAATCTCAGATCGACTGCCAAGATCCGACGTCATCGGGGCTTGTGTTAAGAGAACGCGATGAGTGGTGCTCAAAAGCTTATCCCTGGGCGTCACCCACCCGCCAAGCATGTGGAGCAGGCGGAGAGCCTGATCGCTTCATTGATTGGACAGATCCTGCAGAGGACACGGAGAGCTCCAGGCTCATCAGCGGGCTCCACGCGACTGCATCATCACCTGCATTCTGCCCGACGAGGACAAGCTGAGTAACGGCTCTTAATCTCAAGGGCCGCCGGACAC